TCTCCCAGCTTAGGAGTCACAGCCCCGAGTGCTCCTACCACCACTGGGACCACTTTGGCCTTTACTTTCCACATCCTCTCTAGTTTCTCCTTCAGGCCCTGGTACTTCTCCAGCTTCTCATACTCCTCCTATCTGATGTTGCTGTCACTTGGCACTGCTACATCTATCACCACCACTGTCTTCTGGTCCTTGTCTACTACCATGATGTCTGGTTGATTAGCCAGTTCCTGCCTGTCTGTCTGGATCTGGAAGTCCCACAGGATCTTAGTCCTGTTATTCTCCATGACTTTCTGTGGAATCTCCCATCTGGACTTGGGAAGGTCTAGTCCATACACTATGCAGATGTTCCTGTACATAATGCCAGCTACTTGTACAGTTCAGTGTATGCTGTTCCTGCCTGCATCTTATACCCTGCCCCTATGTGTTGGAATGTCTCTGAGGCACGATGTGTGTGTTCTTTGTTGTATGTCTAATTTAAATTTAATGGAAATATATAATGAGTCAGATTGTTGGTCTCTCTGACTGTCTCTCATTTCCCTTCGCTGTCAGCAATTCTTCTGGATTTCAGACCGGAATCTTTCCCAGATTTTTCTGGAGATCCCGGCAATTAAACCTCAAACCTCTTTGCAGAGCATACGCTGGTTTTCCACTCAACTACATACCTTTTGCAAAAGGTTATTCTGGCTTTTTAAAATAAAGTATGTGAAGAACCTTCTGGGTATATTTAAGAATATATTACATGCTTATTTGCCTTCAGATTCATACAGAGAAATCCCACAAAGGAGCATTGGGTTTCTCCACAAAACTGCACAATTTGGCATAGTGGGTGTCTTTCCTTTTTCAGTCAGAGATCTTGTGGCAGATGCAATTTCTTTGGGGGACTAGATAAGGGAATCACGTGGTCATTAAGCAAATTCCAGCAAAAAAATCCATTGGGGAAGCTGGATTTGCTTAATGACATGATTTGCTTAACAACCAAGTGATTCACTTAACCTTTGTAAAAATGGTCATAAAATTGGGACCAGTCACGTGACTTAACTGCCCCACTTAACGACCAACTACCTGTATCAAAATACACTAGAAGCTCCAAAGAGAATACCCAAGCATACAAGAGGTTTTAAATATATATATATTTAAATATATATATAGGGTGAGTCTCTCTCTGTTACAGACACCACCATTTTTATCTTTTTTAGAAATGAAAAAATTGCATGAACCAGGACTTTATGGCGTTTGCCTGGACCATATCATTTGTCTTGATAACTCTACTCCTTAGCCCACCACTAAGTGCTCTTCCTTATTGTTGATTTAAAGTGCTATTCACCAATCCTTGAGCCAGCAGAAAATTATAGTGCCATAACCTTTTCTGTTCCTACTGACAATCCCTCTCCTGTAGTAGGCATAATGCCAGCAAATGGTGCTATCTTTACTTATAGTGTACAGAACATCTTAACGAAAGGGATTGGTGGATTTCCCCCAGCTTTATTTTCTTCCCCATTCACCAAATATCATGAGCCAGCAGAAGTGTATCCATAAATCACTTTTCCCTAATATGGAATGGACGTGGGGCTAGAGGAAAAAGCATGTTTTGACAGATGGCTTGAGTGGTGAACTTATCTATCAAAATTCACTCTGTTTTTGTGCAAGTATTTTGGACAGGTGCAAAGTGACCCAGTCAACTGATAATTGGATTTCCATGCTCAAATGGAGCTAAACATAGATTTAGTGCTATTGCAGAAGTGTACTAAACCGGTGTTTAAAATATGATGATTAGCAGTATTCCAGAAGAGCATTAGACCTCTGTTCAACAGCAGCTTGAACAATTGAGAAACATGAAGAGGGTTGCATCATGGAGCAGCAGAAACTGAACTGCCTCACCCCTTGCCCCCGACTTCATCACATGGTCCTCCGCTGCTGGTCAGCTGCTGTTTAGGACAATCCAGGTCTCCAAGCTGGAGATTGGTTTGCAGAGCTGGTGGGTGCAGAGGGAGAGTCCAGTTGGAAAGAACCAGACTCTCCTACTGTCCAAATCAAAATGGCCCTGAAGAACAGTGTCTAAGGATGACTTAAGGCTGCCCAGATGAGAGTTATAGATAACATGAAGACAATCTTAAGTGGACATGGTAGAAAAAAGGTTGCTATGGCAAGTTCATACCATGGTTAGGTGCAAAAGGGGAAAGGCTCTTAGGCTGATAATTGGTGAATACTATTCAATGTAATCCCTCACTTGTGCCTATCCTTGGCAACTCTATCTGGCCTACTTTCATGTACCTTTAACTGAAGACTTTGTTTCCTGGCAAAAGTTTCACTGATTTTGTTGCTGCCATTTCTCATATAGTTTAATCTGTTCTTCTTACATTGTTCAACAATGGCTTTTCTTTAGCGGCTGGGTAGAAATATGTTGAATTAATTAATGACTAATTCTAAATTACAAATGTGTTGAAGGATAACAGAAACTTACCTGCCAACAGACTGACTTAATTTTCTTGCTGTTTCCTTTTCCTAAAGCATTCCAAACATTTCTACAACTATTTTTAAACCATATGGCATCCAGTGAAAAATTGCATTGGGTATAGAAAAGCATCCTCAAACTACAGTTACCATCAGCACCCCCTCAGTAATAACGCCAGACGTACTCCACAGGAATTGTTCAGTAGTTCAAGGAATATGTGGCTATTCCAAGCCCTTGGTTTTCTGTAGGACTCCATCCTGAACAAAGACTTCCTTAAAGTCCTTTGAACTGAGAATAGATTTCCTGACAGGTTTTCTCCTGTCAAGCTACTATACTCAACTACTCTTCTTTAATTTCTCTCTGCCACATACTGTAGCTACTAAAGGCAAGCTAACAAATCAAACCATATCCACAATGAAATATCACAGTAATCTGTCCAAATATAAGCTGCTATTAAGTAGGAGGCTACTGTGTCTCTCTTCCATTTCTAGTTGCTTTAGATTGAGGGTGGCCAATGGGACTGAAAGCCATGGGGAGAAGGCATGTGATATATGTAGATGGTGGTGGTTTGGAGAAAATGTGTGTGTATGTGTGTGTGTGTGTGTGTGTGTGTGTATACTTTTATCTGTGAAGTCAATTTTAAGGTTTAGACTTCCTTTTGCCATCTATTTCCCATCTCAGAATAGCAGGAAACTCTGGTTTTGGTTTTCAGGAATCATGACCATGATAATTCCAAAAGCCACAAAAAGGAGATAGGGAATGTGCAGGGTAAGTATTTGAACCTCTTGTCAAAGAGGCAAAATATGAAGTATCTGAACAGAAATGAAAACACTTATTTTTCAGTGGACAATGTGCACTTCTTTGGAGTCTGTAGCAATTACAAGTGAAGGGAGAAAGTTGTTTCTATTTTGGTCAGCAATTACATTAGCAATAATCTTAAAATAGATTACAGCAGTGTTTCTCAACCTTGGAGAATTCTGGGAGCTGAAGTCCACACATCTTCAAGGTGCCAAGGTTGAGAAACACTAGATTAGAGGGTATGTGCTGATTTAATGAATTTAAACTATGTCAGTGTGATGGGTGGGGGAAACTGTTGAGCTCAGTTCCTGGTGACTACCTGGACATGTCCATCTAATCATATTGCCAACAGTAATGAAAGGGGTTGTCATTACTTTCTTCCAGGATATCTTTGTATTCCCCTATCTAGCCTTTGTAGTCTGTCTACTTTGGTATAGAGGCCTGGGATGGCTGGTAGTTTCTCCCATCTAAGTACTAACCAGGCACGATTCTGCCTAGCTTCTGAACCCAGACAAGCTGTGGTGCCACCTGCTGAGACTTATCAAGTACACCTGTTGTCTTGTTTAGTGTAGAATAATAATCACGTTAGTAACAGAAGTTACTAACAGAAGTTAGTAACGTTGCTGGACATGATATATAACAAGAGTGTAGAAATTATGTCTTTCTAGATGTTTGGCTACAAATGCCAGCATTTATTGGTTACATTATACTGATGGAGTAGAATGAACTGGAATCCAGCAACATCTGGAAGGTCACCAGTTCTCCATTCCTAACATAAGAGGTCTTATTGTTGGGATGGTCAGTATCACCCACTCTTACTCTACATGAATAAATCATGAAGGATACAAGACCAGTTGGATGAAACTAAAGGGTTCTGTAGTTTAGCATTTTTTCCCCACAGTGGACAACCAAATGTTTCCAGGAAACTCAACAGCAAAGCAAATCATAATACTGACAACTCTACCTTGCTGTATGGATTTGCAACTCTTTGCTTCTTTTCCAATAGCTACGATTGCATTTTTAGCAGCACCCCCATCCCCCAATTAATACATTGTAATAGATGAAATACATCCTTTTCATCTGTACTCTGAGCTTACCATCAAATAATTTTATTGGATGGCAATGAGAACAAGGTGTGGAGAAGGAAATGGAGGAGCAGGGAAGGGGAAGGAAATCTTTATATCATCCTATACACCATGCATAGATTTTATATAAAGTCTTGTTAAGATTTGGGAGTGCAAAATCAGCCATAGAGAACTAAGTAACATGAACATGACTTGTGCTCCAACCCTTCTTCAGCACTTCAGCCATTCCAATCTCTCCTATTTATTTTTTAACAATTTAAAATCTTTTTAGGTTATGCTGGTAGCCTCTATGCCTCCATCAGACAGACATTTATAAGGCAAGTTAGAAGTTTTTTCATAATCTCAGTTCTATGGAAGCAACAAACAATATTTGTCATAACTTCACAATTAGTATTTCATTTCTTTGGTGATCTTTGAAGATAAATTATGAATCAGGACATTGAAATGTCTGGGTGAAAAACAATATTGAGTATGAAAAAGTTAACAGACAATGTGAAAATATTTGGTTGCATTTAGACTCAGGATATGTGGTGAAGCAGATTAGTTGCAGCTACTGAATGTCAGCTGAAATAAAACTGTATTTTTTTAAAGTATAATTTGCATATTTGTTAGTTTCCAAACTTGAATTTCCAGTCCAATCCAGGTACTTGGATGCCTGCCTGTAAATTACACCAGTGGGATGCTACGAGTATTACTGCCAGTACAATACTCACACAGAAATGCTTGTATTCATGAATCTGCCTTCTTTTGTTGCTTTGAAGGATTGGGATACAGATGGAATCTTGAACTATTTTGTCCACTTTGCTCCAGATGTCCCTTGGCAGACTGGGGTTTGAATTAGTTGCAACATATACTGGCTTGGAAGAATATTGAAAATCCAGATGCATAAGGTCAGTGCATATTCTGCATCGGCTCAGGAAGAGGTTACCTTGTACATGGTTTTGGAACAGGCCACTTTAATGAATGAATCCATGATGGCATAGGTAATGGTTTTGTTGATCATCGTGCTAACAATTTGCCTTTTTTCTGACACGAGGTAAGTCTTCAATTCCCAATCATTCAATAGACTGGAAGGATCTTCCGGGTGAGATCTTCATCTCTCTGGTAAACTTCACTGAAAGCATCAGATTCTTGACTTGTATAATTCTCAGAGTCCTCTGGTTCCTTCTTGTCACTATTCCGCACGGCAGCTTCAAGGGCCTTTTGCCGGCGGTAGAAATGGGAGAACTTATTGAAGATTATAGTGATTGGCAGTGCCACAACCAAAATCCCACCTAGGATGCAACCAGAAGCTGCCAGCTTGCCAGCGACAGTCACTGGTACCACATCCCCATAACCTACAGTTGTCATGCTAACTGTCCCCCACCACCAGCAAGCGGGAATTGTGTCAAAACCAACATCTTCCTCCTTTTCTGCAGTGTAGGCTATTCCAGAGAAAACAGACACCCCAACAGCCAAGTATAGGAGAAGAATTCCCACTTCTCTGTAGCTATGCTGAAAAAGAAAAGACAAAAAAGAAAAAAAAATGGAGGTAGGTAGTTAGGATCAATAACTAAGAAATTCTTAGTATGAAAGGAAAGCCCATTCTTCCAATGCTGGTTTTAATACCCTTTAAGTTGTATCTCTTCTTGTCTCAATAATACCAGACCCCAGTTGACTAAGGCCATGAATGAAACTGAGGACAAAACAATATTTTGCCTTAGCACATTTCCAATAATCTCTTCATTAAGAAATTAGCATGAAACTACCTTATACCAAAATCATTTGCCAATTTTCTTTCAGTGGTATGTGCATAAGCACATCTGGATCAGTGCCCTCCAGATGCCTGGACTGCAATTCCTATTATCCTCAGTCAATAACCCATGCTAATCATTTCCCAATTTTCTTTCAGTGGTATGTCCATAAGCACATCTGGATCAGCGCCCTCCAGATGCCCAGACTGCAATTCCTATTATCCTCAGTCAATAACCCATGCTGAAAATGATGGGGGGTTGTAGTCCAACACATCTGTATTGGAGATGGTTGTGTTCATTTACTCTGGCAGGCAGCAATATTCCAGAGTTTGAGGAACAGATTACTTGCAGGTAGACCTGAGAACTTCAGCATTTAAAACTGCAGATATTCCTTCAGTGAGTTATGTTACTTTTTCTGACATGGTGACAAAATGGAACCAAGAAGATCTTGCCTACATCATCAATTCCACTGTCAATAACACCAACATTTCAGAGCCAAAATTGAAGGGTGGGGGGAAACAAATGAATTACAATTGGCTCAAATTGCATTTGCAAGGAAGAATGGCAGACAAAATAAAGATTAAGCATGCCTCTCACCAAGTTTGAGCTGTACATACCACCTCATCCCATATTAGCATTTCTCTTAGCATGTATAGTCCCATCTTTATAACGTGAGTCCAAATACAAGCTTAATAATATTTATTAAATTCTTCCCAGAATACTTCCCATGTAAACATAAGTGTGCAACAGAGCTTCAGCAAACCAAAGGTCAGCAGTCTCTGGACAGAAGTTACTTTCTAGATTCTATCCATTCTTACTTTCAGCCCTGAAGAGTTTGTGACACAGACACTCTCTTTTTCACATAGTTGCAAGTTTTATAACTGTAATATTTGAAATTATTTGTAGTGTATGAGGGTGGGTTAGATTTTTAGAGTTTAAATAAATGTAACACACATCCACATTTCTTTCCTCTTGTTTTTCAGATTAGAACGGGGAGGCATTTTCCATTGCAAGGAAGCTAACTTAATTACAAATGGATAACTTTTGCTCTCATTAAAACTGTTTATGGAACTGGAATGTCTGTAAGTGCTAAGCTAATGTCCTACATTCAGTTCGCTTGTTCAACATTGCTGCTCTTTACTTGGGAGCAGGCTTCACCAAATTCATTTGGGCTAACTTCCGAGCAAATATGTATAGAACTGTGCTATGATTCTCAATTATTTAAGTGGGATCCCCACATTCTAACTGTATGGAGGATTGAGACCCATCTGCTCCCTGCTGTACCACCTGATATCTTCTTGTTAAGGGATCAGGCAACTTCCCAGATCAATGAGCTTTTAAGCATCTCTTAGAATATAAAACAAAGTATTTTACTGACTAACATTGCTAGGTCTAATGCAAACTGAGTCTCCAGATAAGGTATTGATGAGTGCCTTTGGTGCTTCTCTGGTTCCAGTGAGAAGGGCAGAATGTGGAGATGGCAATAATCTCCCCAATATCTACTTCTTGGGACAAAAGCTGTTGCTGAACTCCAGACTGGCACCACCAGTCATATCTCAGTTTGTATTCAGTGAAGATAGACACCTGTCTGGTATCTAGATCTGGCAGGAAGAAGACAGATTTCTTAGTGGCAAATAAATATCCTTCATTTCCCTGTTTTTTATAGATTTAAAGCAGACATTTAAAAAAGGGGGATGCCCACCCAGTGCCTTCAGAATGCAATGTGACGCCTACACAGCTACAAGTCAGATCAAGAAAGGTACCAATTCCAGATTTAGCACCTATAATTTTGCAAGAGATAAATAACTGAGAAACAAATGTACTTCTAGTACTGTTGTCACCATCCACCAGGCTTCCCCTTTTCCTGGATTAAATCTGGCAATCTTTTTCACGGCCTGTCCCGTTTATGCAATACGATTGAATATCCAGAGCTGATTCTCAGGACACAGGACCAGAGAATGGAGCCCTTCCAGTTCCTGGGCCAAGAAGACAGGGGTACCAAGCTTCTTGCACTCCTTTAGTTGCTGTGATCCCAAACAAAAAATTATTTCCTCACAACTGTGCTGTCATTGATGGAGATTCCTTCCCTGGTTGATGAAAAGTGGTCCCTCTTCTGCCTTCTTTTCTTTCCCTGTAGCATAACAACCACAATTACTGTGAAAGCGCATGGCTAAGGAAAGTAGGAGAAGCTTTGAGATGAAAGTTGCAATTATCCTGGCAAACCACTCTCATGAGCCCTTGAACTCTAGACTTCAGCCTTAACAGGAGTCTACCTGCTTTTTATTAACAGATAGACATTTCCTTTAGCATACGTGTAAGAAATCCAGACTCGGTTGATTGGATTTGTAAACCTGTTTGGGCAAAAAGACTGCTATTTGTCCAAAACAGATCTCAAATAATAACTATTCTGTGGCCCAGCAGGAAGATCAAGACAAGCTTGATGGAATGGAAGTTCCTTTTCAAAAGTATACAGGAGTCCAGCAGATGCAGTAGAGAGGCTTAACCTAGAGCACGGCAAGTGCTGCCAGAGCTGGCTATTTATAGGCATGGCACAAGTGACAGAAAGAAAGAGACAGCACAGTAGTCAGACACAAAATGAAGCTGCCAAAGAAAATGACAGCCCATAGAAACACAACCTAGGCAGAAATGTGGAACAACTCAAAATGCACCCATTAATATATATATATAAGAAAGAAGCAGAGAACATGGTTAAGCTGCAGGAAGGGAAAATAATATGACGAGTTAAGGGCTAGGAATCCCAGTGCTGTGAATGAGGAGAAAACGATGTGTACAAAGGAACTAGGCACAGATTGAAGTATGCAATTTACACTTGAATAGAATGGGTCCCAGGGTTCTGGATCAATAATACATTTCCCACTTTTTAGACCAGCCATTACATTTACTTTCATCCTCTTACTTCACTGGTTGTTTAAAGGGAAGGGAAAGCAATAAACCAAAACATTTTTACAGCATAAAGCAGAAATAAGAAATGCACTGCCCAGGAAGCAGATGCTCTATGCAGGCTGCGTATTCTCTACCTTCTTAGTAAGAAGCCTGTTTTGATCTCAATATAACTTGCTGGTGACATCTCTAACGCTCCTGGTGTCTTAACTGAAGCTGTTTGGATTATTTGATGAAGCCAAGCATGATACATTAGACGTAGCAGTTTATGTTTTTATTTCCTTACGGTGCCATTTGTTAGTAAGGGAAGGAGGCGGGCTGCTTGCTCCTAGCCGTGCATAGTCAGAACAAACCTAACAGCAAACCAAAGCTTTCCTCTTGGCCACCTACTACAGCTGGACCATAAGCAATCATCGGTGCCAAGATGATTGCCTTGGCCCATTCAAGATTCTGTCTTACTTGCTGCAGGAAGGAGACCTGGATTCATATATCCTGCTAAGGTATGGTTTGTGTTTGTTGGATATGTTATAGTGCCCTGGTTCACACACATAAAGTATGGCTTACAAAACATAATCCTGAGTTTACACATCACACCAAACTAAAATTAAACAAAACACTTTGTCACGTAGCCAAATGTGTGAACTAGGGGATCTTCACCTTCTTCCTTCATATGAGCGGGCTGTTAACTCTGCAAAATTGTACAAAGAATAGGATTCTGGTCTATAATAAGGGAAGATGTTGAGACAACCAGAAGCAGCGATTAACATAAAATACGCTAGACTTTCCTTCAAATGAGACATTGACCTAGTTTGTCTTAACCTTTGTTTAACAAAGATTTATTATAACACAGTTGATTAGGTTCATATTATAAGCAATGTCACCAACACCGGTTTATTGGCACCAATGGCCAGGTTCATACATAAAACTAAGTTATAGTCAAATACACCGTAATGTTGCTCAGCACTGTGTGTGAACCCAGTCACTGTGGGGAGAGTAGAGGAAAGCAAAAAGAGCAGTTTTGTTGTTTTGGTACTTTAAAAATATGTGACATTGGTTTGGGCAACAAATTATTAGTCAACACCCAACTCTACTTTCTCTTGCTTCTTCATACTGTGTATCTCGTACTCTCTCTCATAAGCAGCTCTTTTAGCCAATGCCTCATATTCCACAAAACCTTTGACTTAAATCCTATAATTCAGGGGTAGGCAATACAATGTCCTTTGAGACTAGAACTCCCATCAGACCTAGTTAACATGGTCAGTGATTCTGAAAGCTGCCCTTCAAAGCATCTGGCAAGCCCTTGGTTGCTTACCTGAACTTTAGTTCTAAAAAGCAAATGAGATGATGTTTAGCTTTATCCATCTACAGCTATGTATTTTATTTGCACAAACTATAGACTCAAACTAGTCGTAATGCATTTTCCAAAGTGTAAACATTGCCTGGTGCTTAAAAGACAGCAAGGTAACTCCAACTTGTTCTTCCTGGGAAGGCAATTTCATAATTGGGATGTTACAGCCAAGAGGAGACATTCATCCTGTTATCCTTACCACACTTTTCCCTTCTGTTATCTTTCTTCCCCCAGTGTCTGAATTTAAATTGAAACCATACAACATTGATTTGCCCTTTAATTATGTAATTAATGCATCCTGGTTAGGGTTGGGACCAATGCACTGCACCTCTTTTTATGGCATCCTTTTTCCTAAGACTGTTTACTAAGTGTTCCATCCTCTTTAGGAAAACTGAAAAACACAAAGAAAAAGGGCTTTGCTAAAACATGAGGAAGTTTTGACTTAGTATTGCTTGACCACCGCAAATCTGCACATGGGATATTTCTACTCACCCTTTCTTAGTCTCCAGAGAGCAGTCTGAATACAGCTGGGGAGTCACCTTCAAACCTCCTGATTTGCAATGCTGAGGCCAAGGAGCAAAAGTCTCCACTTTGCCCTGAGCTGCTGCTATATATAAGTTGATTAAATTGTTTTTAATCCTGAATGGGGTAAGGAATTGACATTGTTTTAAAAATGGATATTCTACCCAGTTTGTGTGTATGTCAGTCTGCATTTAAGCTATCATAACATGGATTTCTATTTTGTTTTAGTTATATGGGGGAGGTTATTCCATACATTTTGCACAGCTCTTAATCAATCTTCTCTAGCCTCTGAAGGACTGGATAGGGGACCAACTGGGAATACCAGAGCTGTCAGACTGAGAAGCCAAAAAAAAAAAAAGTGGCAAATAACTTCCATAATCCTACATATACATACATACGTACATACATACATATATGTACAGATGTGTTCACTAGGAGGTGAGCGTAACTTTATCCCAATCCATAAACTGGTGTTCACCAGATTATTATTTATGTAGTGTGTTTAGCGTGAGATACTTATTCATTTAAAATATTTTTATCCTGCTTTTCTACTACAAAACATGTAAAGCGGCTTACAGCTGTCGTAAAATAAAGAGAAACCCATCCCTCTTTCTGAATTGAGTGACAGAAAGCTTTTCTTCTACTTCTGTTCAAAAGAAGGTTAAAAGAGGGAGAGAACATACATGTGTCAGTGTTAATGCATACTGCAATTTTTTTAAAAAAAGATTCAAAGGTGTGTGAAACCTTTCTCTCATCTAGCCAGCTTCGTTAACGATTGAGGAATGAGGATAATGGCTCAGAAGCAGACTAACCAGGAAAGACCCCCAGATTCCATACTATAACTATCTTCAGTAAAGGCCCCACCTCCAAATCAAATGAAGCAGAAGCGCTAATCCCTTCCCAAGAACACACATGGATCGTGCATGATTTGAACAGAGATGGCAACGCTTCCCTTCTGCTCCCTTTTCCATTTACATCATGCTCTAGATAGCCTACCAAACAGACACTAGGCTTGGGGATGTTGTCTTGCTGATTTCATCCGGTTTGTGAAAACCAACTGCTAAAAAAGTTAGCCTAATTAAATTTAACAGCTGCAGTGGGGGAAATGAGTTGGGGAAGACAGGCCTGAGTGCCCTCTGCCTTCAGGAAGGGACAGGAACACTTTGGTGAATATTTACTGTGACACTTTGGTGAATATTTACTGTAATTCTGAGGTCCCCTAGAGAAGGAGAGAGAGGCTTCCCTTCCCACATGGTGATGGGGCTCCAACTGGCAACTGAATGGGAGGCAGAAGTCTTTGCTGCTTGCTGCTTTATGTCCTGCTCCTATGTTCTGTGGATGCATGTTGGAAATGGTGTTCCACTGAGCGCTTCGAGCAGGGAGGCAATCAGAATTGCAGGTAAATGTGGCCAGAGAAGAAGCAACAAAACATTTCCTGAAGGACTGGAAACCTTATATGGACCTTTTGTTGAAAGAAGAAAAAAAAATGATATGATGATTTATGGGTTTGAGGACTAAAAAGATGTGGACTAAGGGGCATGGGGTTAAAGGGATTTGTATAACACTTAAGAGGGGATTTCATAAATTTAGTTTTTTTCTCTTTTTTTCTTTTCTTGCACCTTTTTCTTCTTTTTTCATTTCTTTTTTGTCTTTTCCTTTAGATTTGTCTTTTACTGCATGCAAAATCCTTAACTATAACTATAAATAAATAATTTCAGGTATACAGTTGGGTAAGCGAAGTGGCAGGTTATCAGAGGTTATGCAAAGGAGAATAGTTGGCAGAAAACATCTGGATGCCAGGACATCTGATGAGGGAGGAATAGGGCACCCTTTCTCCATGAGAATGAAGAGTCACTTTATCCTACTATCCTACTTATTTTTCTCCCAGGAGTAAATTCCATGATATTTCATGGTGTCCTCCTAAGGAGACCTAAGCAGGTTAGAATTATCATGAGAATTGGTTGTTGTCTAACTCAGATAACACCGCTAGTGGGAGCCAGTTTTAGTAATAATGAGGACACATTAATTGGCACAGCATTTAAGAGAAGGGAGAAATTTCACAAGGTTGCAGGTGCAGCACATGGACCCAAGGTGGCTACCTGAGAAACTTTAATCGGCATTGCTCAGCAGTTTGCACAAACTAAACATGAAGAATCTAAATATGAACTAGCATCAAACCAAATTTTTCCTTCATCAAGGTTGGGAGCATCTCAGATGGCTGAAAGAGAGCTTGTGGAATTGAAGTCAGAAGGAAGACATTCATAGTTAATATTTTCAGCTATTTTGTCCAGGTGTTTGATGCTTACAGACCCAGACTACAGCAATCCCTTGGGACTTTCTGGAATGCCAGACACAGTGTGCTAGCCTCCGGCTCATAATATCTTGGTCCTATGCTAGCTAGAGTCTCTCTCAGAATTCATTAGAGTTCTCTGCAGCTGACGTGACTTTCCTAGACTTACTGAATATTACAAGCAACGAATAAAAATAAAGACAGCAAAACAAACTTCAGTCCCTCAAATTTCCTCTGTGCCATAGGAGATCACCCATTTCAGTCATTTGCTCTGACAACCAGCCACGTGCACACATCCAGCTGGCCCTGAAACTCCTGGTGCCAGATGGTGCTCGTGCAGGTTAGCCTTAGGCTGCCTGGCAGCAAGCCCATAAGTCAATGAGCTACAATCAACCAACTTGAACAAATAACTTAAGTTTTAGGAATCAAGCTGGAAAGTTCAACGTTTGCAAGAATTTTTTTCTTTTTCAATACTGTCTGCTTTCCTCCCCCCATTTTTTTTTTTTTTTATGGTAAGGAAACAGAAGCCTGAGCATAAACAGAGAGCCACCTGCAGAGGACCACAATGGAAACCTCTCACTGAGTTCTGCAGGATACAGGAGCTCAACCTGTGTAAATGCTGCATTTAAAATAGGCCAAGTTAACCCATATTCCATGCCAAGAGCTTACTTTTGCCATTGCACAAATCAAACAAAGATACCCTTTGGAGGCCAGATAGGATGCAGGAGGATTTCACATTAATTCCATACACAGAGGCAAGGACAGATATAACTCTACAGATCTTTTCTTTTCTTTTCTTTTTTGGTAGGGTTTGCAGAGGAAATGATGCTAGATAGATAAGAACAAGGCTGGAGGAAATGTAGCTGTTGAGAATATGTGGGAATTACTGATAGGAATAAGGTTTACTACTGAAACAGAAGATGATTTTATTTATTTGGTAAGGAGTATTGGATCTCCATTTGGGTTTTATAACACTGCATCATGGTAACTGTCACTCTGCAGTATGTTAATTTGCTGATAACTGCCAGCAAATTTGGAGAATGACACAGTGGCAAACAGATTGGAAGAGGTCAATCTACATACCAATACCAAATAAAAAGACACTTAACAGAGTATATAAACTATTATACAATATCCTTAATTTCACATGCTAGCAAAATAATGCTCGGGAACATCCAACACAAATTAGAGCCCTACATGGAAAAAAAGATGCCAGATGTTCAATCTGGCTTTAGAAAAGGCTGACGAAGATGACATATTATTGCTGATGCATGTTGGATAATTGAAAAAGCCAAAGAATACCAAAAAGATGTCACTATGTGCTTCATTGATTATAGAAAGGGCTTCAATTTTGTCAATAATATCAGGCTGTGAAATGTGCTTAGAAAAATGGGAATCCCAGAACATCTTGTTGTCCTCATGAAATCTATATACAGGTCAGGAAGCCACAGTACAGAAAAAACATGGCAAAACAGACTGGCTCCAGACTGACAAGGAGTGAGACAGGGCTGTATACTCTCTCCATATTTATTCAAACTATATGCTGAATTAATATTAAGGAAAGATGGATTGAAAGATGAGTAGCTTCAATAACTTGTGCTATGTTGATGACACTACTCTAATAGCCCAAAATGCAAAGGATCTGCAAATTCTAGTAATAAAAGTCAAAGAGCAAAGTGAAAAAATGTGACTAACATTAAATATAAAGAAGGCCAACCGGTACAATAACCAGCTTTAGAATTGATAATGAAGATATTGAAGTGGTAGAAAACTTCTACCTTTTAGGATCAACCGTCAACAGTAAAGGGATAAGCAGTCAAGAAATATACCACAGAGCAGCACTCAGTAGAGCAGCCATGAAGGCCTTGGAAAAGATACTCAGATGCTGTGATTAGTCTATACCTTCAAAGATCAGAATAGGGCAGGCAATGTTATTCCCTTTCACTTCCATAAAGTGAAAGTTGGATTTTGAAGAAGCAGGATAGGAAGACTTTTGAACTTTGATGTTGGAAAAGGCTCCTGAGAATATTGTGGACAGCGAAGAAAACACACTAATGGATCATCGAACAAATCAACCCAGAGTTCTCACTTGAGGCACAAATGACTAGGCTCAAATTATTGTACTTTGGAAACATTAGTAAAGGCCTAACTCTCTAGAGAAGGCCCTAATGGAAGATGGGGAAAGATGGAAGAAAGAGAAGAGGATGACCAGCAGCAAGGTGGATGGACTCAGTTACACTGGCGATGACTGCAGCGTTGGAAGACCTCAAAGACCAGGTTTGGGACAGATCATGATGGAGAAAATCTATGGGATCACTAAGAGTCATCATGACTTTGATGGGATAAAATCACTCAATAATCAATTATTGTAACTGAGCTTTAAAATGTTCAAAAGCATGAGTAAACTTCACCAGGTTAGAATCAGACACAAATTTAAGATTGGATCAAGACAAAAGTGTTTCTTACCACTCTTTTGATTCTTTTTTTCTAGAAACATGAAAATATGAAATAAAAATAAATGAGCTAAAGCTCATTTACCTTCAAGGTGGCTCCTAAAGACCTCAGGCCTGTTGAATGCCTTGCCAGCTTCAGCACCCGGAATATTCTCATGAGACGAAACACTTGCACCACCTTACCCAAATTTCCCAGTTCTGAGTCTCTCTTCATGGTCACATCTACCCAAAGGGTGAAATAGAAAGGCAACACTGAGATAATGTCAATCAGATTGAGGGGATGCTTGAAAAACTTCCTCAGGTTTGGAGCCAACAGCAGGCGGGCAGTAACTTCAAATGTGAACCAGGAGATGCAGAAATACTCCAGGTTTTGCAACACAGAGTCATCCTTCAACTTGCCCTCCTCATCAAACTGCTGGTACTCTGGCATGCTGTGAATACACATGGTGGCTATGGAAACCAGCACAACACTGATAGACACAAAGCTGAAGAGTTTGCTTGGGATGGAGTATCCTGGATTTTCCATGGTGAGCCAAAGGCGCTTGCGCAGATTGCCACAGCGCAGCGTACTATAACGAAGCAGGTCATGATTGAAATCTAAGATCTCATCTGGGGATGTATCCACACTACTGACCTCACTCTCCTCATCCCAGTTGTGATGATGGCCCTCCAGTTTCCGTTCATGATAGCGATAGCTGCAGCAGGAATCCAGAAAGAATTCATTAATGCCCCAGTATTCTATTTCTTGGCAAAAGGAGAAGACACACAGTTCCTCCATAACATGCAGCTTGCCAGTCTGGTAAAAATGGAGCACATATAGGAAGAAGCCAGGATTCCGATCAAAGTAGAATTCCCTGGCACTCACATCATAATCATCACACAGCTGTAGGATAGACTCTTCAGAGTCACAGGAAAGCAAGCGCCCAAGCCGAGTGTCAGGAAATTTGGAGAGGGCACTTGAACTGAGTCTCCTTCTCAGGCCCCCAACATTGATGTTGATGACCTCATCCTCAAAATCAGAATCCCAATAGTTTAATGTCCTGTTGACCATGATCAGTAGAGATGGGGCTAATTTGGCCTGTGGACAACACTGAAACAGAGAGAAAAGAGAAGATTCTTTGCTTAAACTAGCTGAAAAAAAGCAATTATCCAAAACATCTAAAGATAGTTTTGTGCCTGAGAGTCACCTAGCTATTTAGACTATTGAAGCTTTGTTATAACAAAGTTAATTAGTTCTACAGCTAAGAGTGTACATGTGCTTTCACCCACATAATTTAGAAAGAACCCCTGATACACTTTTCAGTTAAAGGTTTTTTTAAAATAAAGAGCAAAACTGACATTTGAAATGTGTGTTTTGCATGGAAACACCAACAGTTCTTTTTTTCTACACAAAAACAGAAGGGGAGGGTGATTTTGAAGGGAAAAATGGAAGGCATTGCTTAATTCCTCTGCCTGCTGCAACTTCTTCCACTTTGAGGAGATATGTGTCTATAATCACACAAGGGAATAAAAAGTATGCATCTACGTTTTCTCTGTGGAATTACAGCAGAAAAACTGGTGGGTAGAGAGGGATTATACTCATCCATCTGTTTTTGCCAGAAAGTGTAGTAGTGGCTCAGATTCAAAATGCTGATAAGGCTCACCCAAAGGTCTTCATACTGAGGACCACAGGAAGCTGCCTTATACAGAGTCAGACTCTACGTCATCTAGTCAATAATTGTTGTCACTCAATAGCCATCGCTCTCCAGAATTCCAGGCAGGAGGTCTGCCTAAACTACCTGGAAATACCATGGATTAAACTTGGGACCTTCTACATGCCAAATAGGAACTGTACCACTGATCTATGCTATTGGGTCAGTAGCCAAGTAACAGGTCCTGTTTTCTTTCCCCAGTTGACATCTTACTGCTTCAAAATTTCAACTAAACAGTGTTCAATATTGGAAGGATAAGCTGTTGTCTGAGAAAATTAAAATCAAATCCCTGTGGGGAGCATAGGAAGAAGTTTCATGTGTCTTTAGAACCTGCCCACACCCAGTCAAATAGCAGGGTCCAAGGCACCATTCCACAAAATTTAACATGCAGCTAATTCATCTAGCTAAGATTCAACAATTTTGCCTAAGAAGGAAAGTCAGGGAAACTGACAGCATGTATGGCTTTGAATTAAATTGTTGATGATTGCAGACCTGGATGAATGTAGGTTTCAGCTCATAACAAGCATGCTGCTTTCATCGGTGGGTGAAACAAAATGAAAGTAATCCAAACAAGCAGATCAAAATGGAGCTTTACATCCCACAAACTCTAGCTCTGTATCCAAAATAGAAGCTCCTAAATGGAACAAAATACCAATTTTGTCAGCAGAGTAGGTGGCAGAACTTTTACAGCAGGCCAAGGATGATTCACCTTTTGAGAAACTAAACCAGAGTCACCACACTATTTCCTGCATTCAGTTATCATTTCCAATGGTACTTTGCCAAGTTGGTAGTGGTCAGAAAAGATTTTTTCCTTCTGTGATGCTACCCGTCTTGCACATTTTTAATGATACCTATAAGCAACGTCTCAGTGGTAATCTGATTAATCAGATCCAGGTAATATAAGAAAAGAGGACAAAGAAATATCCAGATGCTTTCATGGAGGGCATCCTTACCTAACTTAATGACCTCTAGAGGTGCTGAACTTCTGTGTTAACCATGCCAATTGGGAAATTATGGGAATAGAAACTATATATTTCCAGACTGCTGGAGGATTTCCACACTGGTTGGGGATTATATGTCTTGAAATTAAATTGATTGATAGGTACCAGATGGGAGATTTTTAGCCTGATTTGCAAAGGGTGCAATGTTTTCAAAGCAGAAAATAATAAATGAATAATCAAAGAATAGAATTAAGGAATAAAACATACTAAGGTTGTAAAGGCTGCAGATAAGGGTATCAATTTGTTGGGAAACTATCTAGCATAAAGACAAAATCAAACCAATTCAATAAAAGCTATTCCTACATTTATTTGTCAGAAAATAAAATTTCAAACTTACTCATGTAAATAAATAAAATCAGTCTTAACCAGATGCTAAAAATGAATAATGAGGATGTCTGGAAAAATCTAAAAGTAAACATACAAAAACCTGGCATTGGTATTTGCCTGAACAGGGTACAGCAATACTCATAAGGACCAATTTACCTTATTCATTTTTGTCTGCCCAGTCCCCAACTTCCCCTCATTGAATGGGAAGCTCTACATAGGGATTGTACATGGATCTGCTTGAATGTGGAAAAAAAAAAAAACCTTCTATGCAATCAGGAACTTTGCTTTAACAGGCTTTCTGACTTTAAGCTGGAAACAGAAAGAGATAGGCAAAAAGGTGTGTAGCGGTGCATAGTTCTCTAAGCTCCTTACCTGTGTTGGTTACTTTGTTTAGGTATGATGCCTGCATCTGGCTAAAAAGCTCAGATCCATACCTTGATTTTCTAACAGGTTCATATAGGAAAAGCCAGTCCTTCAAACAACTCAGGTCTCTTAAGTATTATGCCAGATAAAAGCTCTTTTATTTGCTGGATAATAAAGTATCCATGAAAGAATAAAAAGGCAAAATCTAAACACTATAGAAACTGAAATGGATGGTTAATGTTCCCAACTATTTAAAAGAAATCACTGATTCTAGATTGGGAAAAGCTCCCAATTTTATCTTCAGCACGTTCCAGAGTTATCTATTTGTTTCAAACTCTGCAGAGTGCTTGTCTATTCCACTTCATAAAAGTGGTGGCCCTTCAGTACATTGTTAGCAGCAGTGGTAGTTTAGCAGTCAAGCATAAAGTCTTAAAAAGGTTTCAAGTTCTATCCCTGGTGTCTCCTGTCTACAAGGGATCAAGTGGCTAGTGATGAGGAAAGACGTCAGCTGAAGACTTTGGACAACTACAACTGACCAGTTTAAATACATTACTGGGCTGAGTGACAAATAACCTGACAACATCCTATCCTGAGATCTTGTCTCAGATTTCATGTTTCACAAAGCAGCTCTTCTGTTTACAAAGTTATGCATCACTGCTGCTTAACCTGAAAAGCCAACTGGAATATTTCTGTAGCACTCACGAACTACTTGAAACTGGTGCTCATTCCCTAGCTAGGAAAATGCACTCCAAGCAGACTCCAGACATCTCTTCAGAAGATGCTTATGAAATCCAGCTTGAATGATCCTGAACATTCTTTCAGGCCAAGAATTTGTTCATATATACAAATAAGGATTTACAATACAATCTGGGTGCACATGTCATGCTAAACCATGGTTTGTTTTAAAGCATATGACTCAACATGAGCTGGAGTATAGCAATATGACTCAACATGAGCTAGAATCCAGGTATAATGTTGAACAAGACTGCTCTTGTTCAGGGTTCCAGCCAGACAAATATGAATGAAAAGTGTTTAAACAGGCCATTCCACCCATTCCCCACCCCCCACTTTTTCTGCTTTTGATTTCCAAACATATACAACTCATTCATCACTGAACTTCTTTATATTTGTGTGTTTGTGTGTATGTGTGTGTGTGTGTGTGTGTGTGTAGTGGGGTAATGTACAGTTTAGGGCTTTTGGGCTTACTCCAATTCTCTGTAAAATATGTTAACCAAGATCAAATCATATATTAATTGTTAAACATCTGAGGAAATCCTTACCCTCCATTCAGAAGAAAGCATATGGATTCAGATCATTTTCCTACTGAAGTTTATCACAGACTTTTTCACCATAAACAGTGCAGCCACACTAGTGTCACTTCAAGAAACATGACAGCATCCCAACAGCGCTGCAAAAGTATATGTATTTAGGTTTCATTGATTGCTTTTTGTGAGTTTCAAAATTATTCTGAATTTAGTCCAGACAAAATAGCATCCCACTGCCCTTTGCAGATGAAATCTTATTGAAGAAAGTAATCTTCCTTGGTTACTTTGCAAACAGATGGCTAACTTCAGTAGGTCATCAATGTTTCCGAGTGTAAGATTAAAGGTTTGGATTTAGACAAACATAATGAGAGCAGATCTACTGAAACTAGCAAGAATTCAGTTCAATCCAACGGGCTACTCCACGTGTGCAAACTCATCTTCAGTCATATTACTCCATGCCATGGTTTAACCATATTTAATTAACTAAATCACAGTAGGCTAGTTTGTACAATGTGCAAAGCTATAAACTAGACCTTATAAACAACTGTTCTAGATTCATAAAACATGTAAAGTGAAAGCCAAACAAACCATGTTTAATATAATGTGCAAATCAAGCCATGATCTAGGTCCAAATCAGGTTTTATGAACATAAGCATCTAGGTAGCTTTCTGCATAGTAATTTTATTAAAGATTATAATTACAACAGTAAAAACTTATACAAACTAAAAAAAGATAGAATAAAGAGTAGAAGGTGCAGAAAAGAAAAAAAAAGGAAAAAAAAGAAATAGAAAGAAAAGTAAGAATATAGTAAAGAAAAAGAAAATATATATATAAAGAAGTGACTTCCCACCTTCATCACAAATATAAACAATTTTAGTAAGTTATCACCTTCTCTTAAAATACAACAAATGATCTCTTCTTCCCATATCCCATCTCATATCTATAAACAAATCCATAAAGCATAATCATTTCAGTCCTGGTGTCAGCAAAGTCCATTAAGGGTTACCAGAGATAACAACATATTTATTTTAACCTTGATCAAATAAACCAACTTTATATTTCTTCCTTTTACTTTTAACTCTTAATCTTTAGTCCATTCAAATAATGCCGTAGAACTTGATTTCTTTTCATTTTTTCTTTGTCTCTTCTCAGGAGATTCTTCAAAACTTTTAACAAGCCTCTTTTGTAAACCCAATATAGGGAAATTATCCAGGTCACTCTCTTGCTTTATTGTTTAATTATTTAAGGAAGACATCAGCTGGTTTCTTTTGTATGTCCAGTGTAACATCTTTTTCCATGTCATTTTTTTAGCCTGTCATTTTTAAATCCACTTTCAACTCAGTCTCAGTCTTGTCAGGTAGAACTTGTTCCTCTTCCATAACATCTTTTATATACAGTGTCTCCATAAAGGCAGATCTCTGTTGACACTATTTTTCTTTTGTA